GGTGGGGCATGCGATGGAAGCGACATGCACGCAGTTGCTTGCTATGGCCTGTTTGCCAGGTACCGATCCAGTGTGGCACGGTGGCACCGCAGAAGGCCAAGTGTCAACCCGGCTAGTTTGGAAGGGCATGTTTAGAGAAGCAACGTCGGCGATCCGATGTGGCATGGTTTCACAACGGCATGGCAAGGGTGGAGAACGTCATGTGTAAGGGCAGGGGGCGGTAGCTTTGGTCAGCTGGAGCGTTGCTCAAGCGAGTGTCAGAGCGGTGCTCAGACCGACCAACGCGAAGGGTCAACCCGGCTCAAAGTAGGTTAACAGTCAAGCTAGCTGGTTTGGAAGGGGCTTGGGTCGAGAAGAGCTAGAGCGTTGCTTGCAGGACCTGCGTGAAAGCAGTGTGGCGCCAGGTGGCGAACCGCATGCAGCGTGGAGGCAGCCGTCGAGCGGGCATGTTTTGCGCCAAGGGCGTTCGACAGCAGGGTAGTGGGACGGACGTGGCTGCGACTCGACTTGAAACGGGTGGTCGGGAGGATAGCACCTTAGGTCCGCTAGAGCGTTGCTCAAGGCGAGTGTTAGAGCACGCGCCGGATCGCGGTGCAATGGCAGAGGCGACGGCAGCGGGCGGAGCGCTGGCGTTGACCGACGCCGCCGGTGGCGAGGTGAGCCAGTGATAGTGAATTATAATCCCAGCACTACCCGACTTTAAACCGAATACTTGTCCCATAGTCCCATTATAATCCCCGTAAAAGGTCCATAGTAAGCCCAAGCATCGACCCACCTATAGCAATCCCCATCGGCGGGCGACGTGGGTCGAGCCGGTGGCCAGGTTATCGTGTGACAGTGAATTGTAAATAATCCCAGCACGAGCCTACCACGTAATTAAGCTCCATATTTGTCCCAGCATAGTCCCATCATAGTCCCGCGTGATAGTGAATTATAATCTCCGCAGTATGCATCTGGGGCATGGTAGAGCACGGCAGGTGGACCGTGAACATAGTTTCCGGCATGGCTTGTTGAAGTTGGAGTGAGAGACAGTCGGGGTCAAGTAACGTGAGCGCGTTGCCCGGACCGATTCGAGAAGGCCAGCGGTCAACCCGGCGTGTTTTGAAGGGCATGGTTGGAAAACCGCCGCAGGCAAGCCCATTTGGCATATGTGCGGTAGAGAACCACCGTAGGCGATCCGGCGTGCCACGTTTCACAACAGCAGGGCAAGGTGTTAGAATCCGGTGAGCGCCGAGGCACGGATCGGACGGCTGGGGGTCAGAGCGTTGCTCAGACTTGCCGCAAGGCACGGCAGAGCGTTGCTCAGCTGCCCGGCCGGTGTTTGTTTTTTTTTTGGGTCGAGTCTTTTGCCGTCGGCAAGTATCGGTTGCCTCGGTGCGTTGCTCGGGAGACAGACGTCCACAGTGGCGCTGGAAGAAAAGAAAAAAAGAGGCGACAGCCAAGAAGTGCGGAAGGGGATGAAGACAGGCGACGCAGAGTTGGGTGACGCAAGGGTGACGAGGCAGCGGGGAAAGGAGTGTCGAGCAACGGGGTCGCAGACAGGCAAGCCCATTTGGCATGTGGGTAGTAGAGAATAAACGTAGGCGATCCGGCGGGGCACGTGTCACAACAGCAGGGCGAGCGGCTGGGGGTCAGAGCGTTGCTCAGACTTGCCACAAGGCACGGCAGAGCGTTGCTCAGCTGCCCGGCCGTGGTTTTTTTTTGTGTTTGGGTCGAGTTTGTCTCCTCCCCGTGGGAAGGGAACATAGCAATGGAAAACGGCAGGATTTATAGTCGAAGTAAGGGTCCAAGAAGGTGATTGTCCATCCCTGTGGAGATATATAGCATTAGTTTCTTGGCAGGTAGCTGCACCAAGCACGGGCGAAACGTCGCACATGTTGGACACCCGAGCGTTGCTCAAGTGAGCGTCTGAGTGTGGCGCAGACGGAGGACGGAAGGGTTCTGCCTGTGCAGGCTTGGGACAGCAGACCTGAGGCCAAGCATGGCCGCGGCGCCCGCCATGGCGAACACACCGAAGCGGCGGCGGCGAAGCGATGCTCGCCGACCGGCCGCTGCCGAGTTGCGGTCCGTGGCCGAAGTGCATGGGCGGCAGGTGCGAGACGAGGTGAGCGTTGTGGGCTATCTGCTGCTGGTGGATGAGAGCACCCACCGGGCGGAAGTGCAGAATCGAGGCAGGACAGAAGCGAAGTCGGTTTGCAATTTGCTGGTGGCCGACCCGTCGGGCATGGTGCAAGTGACGGTGTGGGCCGAGAAAGCCGAGCAGGTGCATCCGGCAGCACGCCAGTGGCTGCAAGAAGCGCCCGACGGGCATTTCCCCGGTGTCGCCTTGGCTGGGTTGCAGGTGGCGGCCTATCGCAACAAGACGGTGCCAGCGCTGAAGCGTCTGCAATCAACGGGGCGCAGCAAAGTGCTGCCGAGCGGGGGCAGCGGAATCTGTGCGATCCGCCCACCGCCGCAAGCGCTGCTGCAAGACAGCCGCGCGTTGCGCGAGCCCGGGGTGACGACATGTGTCCGCGGGACCATAGGCAATATGAAGGAGTTAGTGTTCAGTCAGGACGACATCGGCATGCGCAGCCTCGAGCTTTGCACGGAGGATGGCTGGAAAATTCCGACCATGTTGCACGGAGCCGTGGCAGAGGAAGACGGCTTGGCAGATGGAATGCAAGTGATTTTGTTCTTCGCAGAAACGAAGGCGCCGCTACCCAACCGGCAAGAAGAAGGAGGCCGCCTGTGGCTGTATGAAAGCGGCTTCGTCCTCATTTGTGGCCCTGATCCCCGCCCGGGGCGACCATGTCGGCAGCTCCGCATTGGGCAGCCGACGGGCGATGCGAGTGACAGTGGGCCGGCAGACGGCGTCAGTTCGCCGGCAGTGTCACCGGCAGAGAAGGAAGAAGAGGAGGACGGCAGCCGGTAAGAGCAGAGGCAATGAGAAGTAAGGCGGGCAGGGTTTATGAAAGTCTCAGCGGCCGATTGTTTCGGCGGGCCGCGCTGGCAAAGAAGCAAGCTGACGGCTGGGGGTCAGAGCGTTGCTCAGACTTGCCGCAAGGCACGGCAGAGCGTTGCTCAGCCGCCCGGCGCAGGCATTGCTATCGGCAGTAGCGTGGGCCACAGCAGCGACTTGGCCGTGAGACAGCCGTAATATGAAGGACGGAAGGCAGCCGTGGTAGCGGCAGAGGGAAAAGAAACGGTCGGATCGGGCTACCCTTCACCTGCGTCCGCGTGGGATCCATGGAATGCCCTTTCTGGTTGGTTTTGCAGTTGGTTACTCTCTGGTAATTTAACATAGCGAACTGGAAAATCCCATCTATAAATGGAGGTTTCTAGCTAGGAAAATCACCTGTTTCTCTGGGCAATTTTTCATAGCTATGTTAAATTACCAGAGGGTATAGCTCATTTTGTTGCACCAATTTTCATATTTCTTAAATGGCAGATCACCAAGGCCAATCTCTGGCGATGTATCTGCGATCTGTATATGTACACATATATTCTGCAAATGATTATATCTATACATCTGTACGTATGCATACATACCAAGACATTATCCCTTATATTGTATTTGTTCAAATTATGTATATAATATGATATGTATAGAATATATTCCATGTACAAGTTATATATAGGTACCTCGTACAGACCATGTATCCCCATCCATCGGGACCCACGACTAAGCCTTGATCCCCAAGTTTTTTCTCAGCAGCTTCAGCTGGTCATCTGGTTCCTCCGGCCTTAGAAGTGGCCAACCGCAGTCAGACACAATACATGTGTGTGGCTGCACCGACGGCAGCGGCAGGCGGGCGAATGGACGGACGGAGAAGGCTATGAAAGCGAGCGCAAGGTCAGGACCTCAGTTGGAACCGGTTCCAAGATCGTGCCGCAAAGCGTGGCCGCAATGAGGGACCGCAGCCAAAGAAGGGTCAAGGCAGGTGTGAAAGAGGACGTGTTAGCCGGAGCCAGTGGGTAGGGTTTATGAAAGTCTCAGCGGCCGATTGCTTCGGCGGGCCGCGCTGGCAAAGAAGCAAGCTGACGGCTGGGGGTCAGAGCGTTGCTCAGACTTGCCGCAAGGCACGGCAGAGCGTTGCTCAGCCGCCCGGCGCAGGCATTGCTATCGGCAGTAGCGTGGGCCACAGCAGCGACTTGGCCGTGAGACAGCCGTAATATGAAGGACGGAAGGCAGCCGTGGTAGCGGCAGAGGGAAAAGAAACGGTCGGATCGGGCTACCCTTCACCTGCGTCCGCGTGGGATCCATGGAATGCCCTTTCTGGTTGGTTTTGCAGTTGGTTACTCTCTGGTAATTTAACATAGCGAACTGGAAAATCCCATCTATAAATGGAGGTTTCTAGCTAGGAAAATCACCTGTTTCTCTGGGCAATTTTTCATAGCTATGTTAAATTACCAGAGGGTATAGCTCATTTTGTTGCACCAATTTTCATATTTCTTAAATGGCAGATCACCAAGGCCAATCTCTGGCGATGTATCTGCGATCTGTATATGTACACATATATTCTGCAAATGATTCTATCTATACATCTGTACGTATGCATACATACCAATACATTATCCCTTATATTGTCTTGGTTCAAATTATGTATATAATATGATATGTATAGAATATATTCCATGTACAAGTTATATATAGGTACCTCGTACATACCATGTATCCCCATCCATCGGGACCCACGACTAAGCCTTGATCCCCAAGTTTTTTCTCAGCAGCTTCAGCTGGTCATCTGGTTCCTCCGGCCTTAGAAGTGGCCAACTGCAGTCAGACACAATACATGTGTGTGGCTGCACCGACGGCAGCGGCAGGCGGGCGAGTGGACGGACGGAGAAGGCTATGAAAGCGAGCGCAAGGTGAGGACCTCAGTTGGAACCGGTTCCAAGATCGTGCCGCAAAGCGTGGCCGCAATGAGGGACCGCAGCCAAAGAAGGGTCAAGGCAGGTGTGAAAGAGGACGTGTTAGCCGGAGCCAGTGGGTGAAGTCACGAATCGCAGGCCGCGCCATGGCGGACGCAGCGGTGGCGATGCTGCAAGCAGAGGTCAGCCAGTTACAGAGTACAGTGGCATACTTGGAGCGCTGGTCGTGGAGAAATTGGCTGGCGGCAGAAACTGCGCTGGAGGCAGCCAGGGCAGCGCGAGAGGAAGCAGCCGCGGCCAAGCGCGTGGCGGACGAGGCGCTGCTGCGGCAGCGGCAGTTGGAGCGGTCGGCGCCGGGCGACGCGGCAACGGCGCCGTGCCCGCCGAGCACAGCGCGGCGGACTAGTCGGACGAGACGGAAGAGGAAGTGGGGCAGTAAGGCAGCGGCCACCAGGACAGGCGCGTAGGCCGCCAGGCCGAGAATCAGAGCGTTGCTCAGATGTGCCCATGGCACGGCAGAGCGTTGCTCAGCCGCTCGGCGCGTACGGGCCCGCCGACCGCGCGTGCGTGGCGGGAGTTTGCCGGTGAGTTGTTGCGCAAAATGGAAAAAGGGGCGCGGCAGCGGGGGAACGGCATGCGTGCAGTGAAGCGCCCAAGACACTGCCTGAAGCAGTGCCTTTGCTTGTGAAATGTTTGCTGCGTGCAGTTGAGGTCAATCACAAAAGGGCGGTGAGCAAGGCCGGCGTGTTTGGAAGGGCATGGGGCAAGAAGAGGACGGACAAGCACAATGCGACGAGAAAGCAAACGAGGAACGGTTTGCGGAGTGAACGGGGAGGGACGAACAGCAAGTGTCAGAGACCAAACGGCTCAAAGGAGTGGATGATGAACATGGACCCGCCAGAGTTTGGCTCAAGCGCGGCCAGAGCGGTGCGCAGCGTTGCAGCGCGAGGCAAACCCACAAGCGGCCGCGCGAGACTCATGGCGCTATCCTGCTTGGTGCTGGTGGATAGCACCGGCTTTGGCTGGCTTGAAGCCGGCAACCAAGCAGCAAGGGGTGCGGGACTGGCAGATCGCCGCAATGGCACGGTGGCTTGCATTTCGTGTGGTGGAAGTTTGGTGAAAGACGGCCAAGCCAGGCTGAGCATCTTGTGGCTGCTGAAAGCAGCTTTGATGGAGGGCTTCTTTGGCGACATCGATGGCGATCGGCCGGTGTGCTGCCGGGCAGTCCCTGCCGAGCGGTCCGTCCCAGGTCGTGTGTACGGTAGCCTGGTTCAAGCACGGAAAGAATGGGGCGTCGCAGAAGCGGGCCCGTCGATCATGGACAGTGCCGGAGCCCGGTACGGTGGGCAAAGCCAGACCTTGCATTTCCAACCTTCAGTGGCGGCCGAGGGCATGGAGGAGGTGGTGGCTGCGGCCGTGCATGCGTTCCCGGTGCGGCCTCGCGATACGCTGGATGTAGTCCTATGCTGCGGCTGGAACTGTGATGGGGCAACGTTGCCGCTGGAGTGCTTTGCTGCCAAAACGTTGACAGCCGCCAGGACGTGGAAAGAGTTCGTGCGGGAGGTGTTGACACAGGCCGACGAAAGGGAGGGTTGGGAAGGACTAGGGGGCAAGTAACCGTCCTATGGTCTCGGGTACGGAGACGGTGTGGGTCGATCCCCCGCGCGCCAGGTCTTGGACAAGCCGCCTTTTGTGCAGGTGGCAGCTTGGTTGGAAGAGCCGCCGGCCGTCCTGTATCAGACGTACAAGCAAGACCATGCACCAGCCCGCGAGATGTGCGAGCGCCACATCGGCCGGCTCCGACGCATCTACGTGGACGATGAGCAGTGCGTGGCCGACGTGGTCGCCTTGGGTGGCGCATGGCTGAAAGAAAAGTACGAGAGCTATCAACGAGGGAGCCACCGCTGTGATATGTGGAGGTACATCAAACTCCGTCAAAACGGAGGGAACTACTTGGACATCAAGATGGCTTTGGCGCGGCCGTGGGCAGAGACATTGCAAGCAATTCTCGCGGCGGGCGATCAGACGGCCGAGGGTCGGAGCGTTGCTCAGACTTGCCAAATGGCACGGCAGAGCGTTGCTCAGCCGCTCGGACCGCCCGCGGCCGCCGGAAGTCAGAGCTTGTGCAGGCTGCGCCGCTCAGTTTGGCAACGACGCCGTACTTGGTGATGAGCATCGGGGCAAACAAGCGGCACATCTACCAGGGCAACATCTGGCACGCAAGCAAGTCGCATCCGCTCCTGACACATGCAGTGCAAAAGGTGCTTACAACGAGCCAGGCCTCGCTACGAAGCCGATACCTTTTGTTTTGCGAGCAGTTGTGGGAGGCTCTTACGCAATCCTTGCCGCAGGGCATACAACCAGGGTGGAACTTCTCGGTGCGTTGGGGTCCGATCTATCTCTTCGAGGAAGTGCTCCACAAGGGCTATACCGGCCCAAAGGGGCAGCTGTGGACGGATAGCTGTCACGTCAGCATGCCGGTTGACGGCCATTTCATGCATCTGGCGGGTGGAAGAGGAGTGTACGCTGCAACGCGAGCATGGCACTGGCAGCACGGTTTCAAGGAAGTTGTCCTGGCAGTGGCCGACGCTAAGCAGGCGTTTGCGAACGCGGCGACGGAGGCGGAGCAGGAGGCCGCGGCAGCCGAGGCACGGGGGGAGGAAACCAGGGCAACCCAGCGGAAGTAGTGGTGAAAATTTGTGGTCGCATGTGGATGTTGGAGGGATCAAAGTTGTTGGGGAAGGACGTCATGCAACAGACAAGCTAGAGGAAGGTAGAATAGAGAAAAGCTGGGCGGTGGAGCGGGGACCCGGCATGCAGCTGCGTGGTAGGCAGCGTCGACGGCAGAGTCCAGGGACACGGCGGAAGTCACGGCCGCCGAAGACCAGGCAGGGCCGGCGTAGGCACACACCGAGTCAGCCAGCAGCACTCATGTAGCCAGGCGTTGGAAGAGCAACGGGAAGAGGACTTGACGGAAGAAGGCCTGACCGAGATTTTGGGCATCGCCAGAACCACGTACTACGAGGCGTTGACCGAAGCGGAAGTGCGCACTTTCGTTGGCTTGGGGTTGTGCCTCTCCAAGCGGCGCCCAGAAGGGTGGCTGAGCTGTCGGTATTGCAAAACCACCCGGCGACGCACCTATTGCTTCCAAGGAGCTGACCAAGTGCGGGAGCACTTTGTGAACCATGCCGCAGGTGGACTAGGCCGTCGAACGGAACCAGCGCCGGCGGTGGGGGTCGAGGCGGCGGTCGTGGCGGACGAGGTGGCGAGCGTGTGGGCAGGCGCGCCGCCGGCTTGGGCCCCGGGAGATGCAGCGGCGCGTCTCACTGCCGCGCGTGCGGCGCTCCCGCGGCCGACGGCAGCAGAGTTGCTGACAACGGCATTCCTGCAGGATGGAGGCAGGATCCGGGAGTTGTAGGAAACGGTGCGCATACCGCGAAGCAGCGGAGGCGGTAGGCAGCCAGAGCGTTGCTCAGGCAAGCGTCATAGGCTTCGACACGATAGGACGACATACATGGGTCGGAGACATGTTGCTTGAATAGATCTCAGGCTGGTCGTTCTAAGTGTTCGCTCTGCCAGGCAAAGAAGTGGCGTTCTGCCGACAAGTGGCCGCAGTGGCGGCGGCGGCCGCCGGCGACGACCTGGCGCGTTTCCGGGCCGAACTCGGCGGTGTGGCAGAGGTGCCGTCGCGGTTGGCAGCCGTGCGCACCCGAACCAATGACTTCGGCAGTGACTGGGCGACCTTCACCGGCGAGGAGCAAGTCCGGACCCAATTGCACGCGCCGGGCGACTGCAGAGTGCGAAGCGCAGACGGGGCAAGCCAAAGCCTCACCATGACGGCGTATGCAACGGCGGTGCTGAAGTTCATGCTGGGTGGCTTGCAAGAAGAGTTGAGCGCCGTCAACGCCACACCTGCCCAGACAAAAGCCGTGTGGCGTGGGGTGGCCGTGCACATGAATGGCCTCTGGGCAAGCGAGCACCTCCGGAATCGCTTGTTGGAAACGGCCGACCAGCAGAAACTGAAGTATTCGCTGGACCCTTTCACTGAGGAGATGCAGTACCGGGCGGGTTGTGACGCTAGATCGGCTCGCCGCAAAGCATCGGCGAAGCCTTCCAATAAGAGCCGTCGCGCGCCGACACATCGCTAGCGCCGTCAGCACGGGCGTCGCCCGCGCGAAGGTCAGAGCGTTGCTCAGACGGACGGACGTCGGGTGCCGGACAACGCGGTAGCTGCACACCAGGCGCAGTGTCGGCTAGCTGGGTGCCAAAGAGCAAAACGTCGGCCGTATGAGGAAACAAGGCAGACCAAGTTGGGTGGAATCCAGGTGCAGCTAGCATAGGACAGGTCGGAAGCAAAAAGCGTAGCAGAGATGCATGGGACGAGACTTGTTTGAGAAAGTCTGCAAGTAACGTGTGTAGAACCCATGTGCGTGGCCGTTGGCAGGTACCGCTGCGCAAGCAAGCTCGAGGGCCCGGAGCCCCAGCACTGAGGCTGCGGCGGCAACCGTAGGTGTCGTGGTTGTTGCAGGGACCAAGACTAGTTGTTGTCGTTGTGGTGGATGATGTGGCTGTGCATGTTGTCGGTGTGTGTTGGTGCGCGGCTCAAGGGCGTGTCAGAGCGTTGCTCAGCTCGACCAGAGAAGGCAAGCGGTCAACCCAGCTTTGTTGCAGCATAGTCCCCTGATAATCCTGCGTGATGATGCATTATAATCAGAGTCTCGGCACCAGCCGCCTACTTAAACCCAATATTTGTCCCAGCCTAGTCCCGACATAATCCTAATCGAGTCGCCCTAGTCAGCCGAAAATTTGGTCCATTAGAATGCCAAGACGTATGTCTATGCGTCGCCCATGTCACAAGTTCGGTACGGTGCCTCTCACAAGAAAAGGCATGCGTACAGCGACCGTAGCAGCTGTGGAATTAGCCGGTAGGGAAGAAATGTTGTGAGTAGCCTGTTTGAAGCTTTAGTCAGCTAGGGCATTGCTTCAGCGAGTGTCAAAGCGTTGCTCAGATCGACCACCGCGCTGCCATGGCAAGTTCCGAGAACGGCATGTTGAAAGGCAGGGGGTGAGAGCTTTGGTCAGCTGGAGCGTTGCTCAAGCGAGTGTCAGAGCGTTGCTCAGACCGACCAAGGTGAACGGTCAACCCGGCTTGGTTGGAGCGGCATGTTTGGTTGATATGTATTGCCTAGCCAGCATGGGGAGAAGTCTGTGTCCGGAGTAGCGACTTTGAAGCCTTGATCAGCGAGAGCGTAGCTCAAGCGAGAGTCAAAGTTGCTCGAGCGCGCGTCCGGGCGTTGCTGCACGGGGGTGAGAGCTCAAGCGAGTGTCAGAGCGTTGCTCAGACCGACCAAGGTGAACGGTCAACCCGGCTTGGTTGGAGCGGCACGTTTGGTCCAACATGGGTCCCAGCATATTCCTATAATAAGCTCAAGACTAATAGCTCAGCGTGGACCGAGCCGGTTGCAAGGTGAGCCGGTGATAGTGGATTATAAACCCAGCACTACCCGAGTTTAAAGCCAAGAGTTGTCCCACAGAGTCCCATTATAATCCTTGTAATAGCGCCATAGTAAGCCCAAGCATCCACCCACGTATAGCAATCCCATCGGCGGGCGACGTAGGTCGCGCCGGTGGCCAGGTTATCGTGGGACCGCGAATCGTTAGTAAGCCCCGCAGAAGCCTACCCGGCAATTAAGTTCCATATTTGTCCCCGCATAGTCCCAGCATAGTCCTGCGTGATAGTGAATTACAATCTCAGCACTAACCGCCGACGTAAACCCAACATTTGTCCCAGCATAGTCCCATCATAATCCGAGTCGAGTCACCATGGTCAGCCGAAGAGTTGGTCCATCAGAATGCCACGAAAAGGCATGCGTACAGCGACCGCAGCCTAAGTGGAACCAGCCGGTAAGGAAGAAATGTCGTGAGTAGCACGTTCGAAGCGTTGGGCAGCTAGAGCGTTGCTCAAGCGAGAGTCAAGGCGTTGCGCAGCTCGATCAGACAAGGCAAACGGTCAACCCGGCATGTTTTGAAAGGCAACGGCGTGTTTACAACCAGGGTCCAGAAGGTTTAGTCAGCGAGAGTGTTGCCCAAGCAGGCAAGCGGTCAACCCGGCATGTTTTGAAGCCGGAGCGTGGCTCAGGCGAGAGTGAAAGTGTTGCTCCGATTCATCAAACGAGGTCAACTGTCAACCCGGCTTGTTTGGAAGGGGCATGCATCAAGAAGCAACGTAGACGATCCGGTGTAGCCGGGTGTCACAGCGGCATGGCAAGTTCCGAGAACGGCATGTTGAACGGCAGGGGGTGAGAGCTTTGGTCAGCTGGAGCGTTGCTCAAGCGAGTGTCAGAGCGTTGCTCAGACCGACCAAGGTGAACGGTCAACCCGGCTTGGTTGGAGCGGCATGTTTGGTTGATATGTATTGCCTAGCCAGCATGGGGAGAAGTCTGTGTCCGGAGTAGCGAGTTTGAAGCCTTGAGCAGCTAGAGCGTAGCTCAGGCGAGAGTCAAAGTTGCTCGAGCGCGCGTCCGGGCGTTGCTGCATGAGCCCAGTGTTAGACCAATATGGGTCCCAGCATATTCCTATAATAAGCTCAAGACTCATAGCCCAGCGTGGACCGAGCCGGTTGCAAGGTGAAGGTCCAGCTTTGTCGCAGCAGAGTTCCCTCATACTCCCGCGTGATGATGCATTATAATCTCAGTCTCGGCACCAGCCGCCGACTGAAACCCAATATTTGTCCCAGCCTAGTCCCAGCATAATCCGAATCGAGTCGCCCGAGTCAGCCGAAGAGTTAGTCCATTAGAATGCCAAGACGTATGTCTAGGCGTCGCCCATGTCACAAGCTCGGTACGGTGCCTCTCAGAAGAAAAGGTATGCGTACAGCGACCGTAGCCTCTGTGGAATTAGTCGGTAGGGAAGAAATGTTGTGAGTAGCATGTTTGAAGCTTTGGTCAGCAAGGGCATTGCTTCAGCGAGAGTCGGAGCGTTGCTCAGAGCGACCAGAAAAGGGAAGCGGTCAACCCGGCATGTTTTGAAAGGCAAGTTTGAAAGGGCGCCGCAGGCAACGGCACCAGCCGCCTACTTAAACCCAATGTTTGTCCGAGCCCAGTCCCAGCCTAATCCTAATCGAGTCGCCCGAGTCAGCCGAAGATTTGGTCCATGAGAATGCCAAGACGTATGTCCATGCGTCGCCCATGTCACTAGCTTGGTACGGTGCCTCTCAAAAGAAAAGGCCGGCGTACAGCGACCGTAGCCTCTGTGGAATTAGCCGGTAGGGAAGAAATGTTGTGAGTAGCCTGTTTGAAGCCTTGGTCAGCTAGGGCAGTGCTTCAGCGAGAGTCGGAGCGTTGCTCAGAGCGACCAGAACTGTCAACCCGGATTGTTTGGAAGGTGCATGTTGAACGAAGCAACGTAGGCGATCCGATGTGGCACGGTTTCGCAACGGCATGGCAAGTTTCAAGAACGGCACGTTTAAAGGCATGGGGCGGTAACTTTGGTCAGCTAGAGCGTTGCTCAAGCGAGTGGCAAAGCGTTGCTCAGATCGACCACCGCGCTGCCTCTGCCATGAAAGACAAACGGCCTGTGCACTGTGAACGCCGTGTCCTGCGTGGCATGTTTGAAGCCGTGGTCCGCCAGAGAGGTGGTTAAGCCAGCGTCAACGTCCGGGTCGGACGGACGCAAGGAGGTCAGCAGTGAACCCAGCATGTTTCACGGAGCAGGTCTGTGCAATGAATTATGTAGCTTGGGTCCGCTGCACGAGCCCTCCAAGACTATAAACTGAGTAGAATCTTAATCCGAAACCCAAGATTTGGTGCAGTAGAAGCGTCGGCGTGAGTTCAATCTGTACTCCATGAGAATGGTACGTGATAGTATCCACCCATATCCGCCCTACCGGCGGGGCGACGTGGACCGAGCCGGTTGCAAGGTGAGCCGGTGATAGTGGATTATAAACCCAGCACTACCCGACTTTGAACCTAATAGTTGTCCCACATAGTCCCATTAGAATCCCTGTCAAGGCTCCATAGTAAGCCCAAGCATCCACCCACCGATAGCAATGCTATCGGCGGGCGACGTGGGTCGAGCCGGTGGCGAGGTTATCGCGTGAGAGTGAATGATAATTAATCCCCGCACGAGCCTACCACGTAATTAAATTCCAGATTTGTCCCGGCATAGTCCCATCATAGTCCCGCGTGATAGTGAACTCGAATTTCTGCACTACCCGAGTTTAAACCCAATAGTTGCCCCACATAGTCCCATTATAATTCCTGTAATAGCGCCATAGTAAGCCCAAGCATCCACCCACCTATAGCAATCCCATCGGCGGGCGACGTAGGTCATGCCGGTGGCTAGGTTATCGTGTGACAGTGAATTGTTAGTAAGCCCCGCACGAGCCTACCCGGCAATTCAGTTCCAGATTTGTCCCCGCATAGTCCCAGCATAGTCCCGCGTGATAATCAATTATACTCTCAGCACTAGCCGCCGACGTAAGCCCAACATTTGTCCCAGCATAGTCCCATCATAATCCTTGTCGAGTCGGCATGGTCAGCCGAAGAGTTGGTCCATCAGAGTGCCATGACTTATGTCTATACGTCGCCCATGTGACAAGCTCATGATGGTACCTCCCAACGGAAGACCGCAGCCTATGTGGAACCAGCCGGTAGGGAAGAAATGTCGTGAGTAGCACGTTCGAAGCGTTGGGCAGCTAGAGCGTTGCTCAAGCGAGAGTCAGAGCGTTGCGCAGCTCGATCAGACAAGGCAAACGGTCAACCCGGCATGTTTTGAAAGGCAACAGCATGTTTACAAGCAGGGTCCAGGAAGTTTAGTCAGCGAGAGCGTTGCCCAAGCAGGCTAGCGGTCAACCCGGCATGTTTTGAAGTCGGAGCGTGGCTCAGGCGAGAGTTAAAGTGTTGCTCCGATTCACCAAACGAAGTCAACTGTCAACCCGGCTTGTTTGGAAGGGGCATGCATCAAGAAGCAACGTAGACAATCCGGTGTAGCCGGGTGTCACAGCGGCATGGCCAGTTCCGAGAACGGCATGTTGAAAGACAGGGGGTGAGAGCTTTGGTCAGCTGGAGCGTTGCTCAAGCGAGTGTCAGAGCGTTGCTCAGACCGGCCAAGGTGAACGGTCAACCCGGCTTGGTTGGAGCGGCATGTTTGGTTGATATGTATTGCCTAGCCAGCGTGGGAAGAAGCCTGTGTCCGGAGTAGCTAGTTTGAAGCCTTGAGCAGCTAGAGCGTAGCTCAGGCGAGAGTCAAAGTTGCTCGAGCGCGCGTCCGGGCGTTGCTGCATGAGCCCGGTGTTAGACCAATATGGGTCCCAGCATATTCCTATAATAGGCTCAAGACTCATAGCCCAGCGTGGACCGAGCCGGTTGCAAGGTGAAGGTCCAGCTTTGTCGCAGCAGAGTCCCCTCATACTCCCGCGTGATGATGCATTATAATCTCAGTCTCGGCACCAGCCGCCGACTTAAACCCAATGTTTGTCCGAGCCCAGTCCCAGCATAATCCTAATCGAGTCGCCCGAGTCAGCCGAAGAGTTAGTCCATGAGAATGCCAAGACGTATGTCCATGCGTCGCCCATGTCACTAGCTCGGTACGGTGCCTCTCAAAAGAAAAGGCCGGCGTACAGCGACCGTAGCCTCTGTGGAATTAGCCGGTAGGGAAGAAATGTTGTGAGTAGCCTGTTTGAAGCCTTGGTCAGCTAGGGCAGTGCTTCAGCGAGAGTCGGAGCGTTGCTCAGAGCGACCAGAAAAGGGAAGCAGTCAACCCGGCATGTTTTGAAAGGCAAGTTTGAAAGGGCGCCGCAGGCAACGGCACCAGCCGCCTACTTAAACCCAATGTTTGTCCGAGCCCAGTCCCAGCATAATCCTAATCGAGTCGCCCTAGTCAGCCGAAGATTTGGTCCATGAGAATGCCAAGACGTATGTCCATGCGTCGCCCATGTCACTAGCTCGGTACGGTGCCTCTCAAAAGAAAAGGCCGGCGTACAGCGACCGTAGCCTCTGTGGAATTAGCCGGTAGGGAAGAAATGTTGTGAGTAGCCTGTTTGAAGCCTTGGTCAGCTAGGGCAGTGCTTCAGCGAGAGTCGGAGCGTTGCTCAGAGCGACCAGAACTGTCAACCCGGATTGTTTGGAAGGTGCATGTTGAACGAAGCAACGTAGGCGATCCGATGTGGCACGGTTTCGCAACGGCATGGCAAGTTTCAAGAACGGCACGTTTAAAGGCATGGGGCGGTAACTTTGGTCAGCTAGAGCGTTGCTCAAGCGAGTGGCAAAGCGTTGCTCAGATCGACCACCGCGCTGCCTCTGCCATGAAAGACAAACGGCCTGTGCACTGTGAACGCCGTGTCCTGCGTGGCATGTTTGAAGCCGTGGTCCGCCAGAGAGGTGGTTAAGCCAGCGTCAACGTCCGGGTCGGACGGACGCAAGGAGGTCAGCAGTGAACCCAGCATGTTTCACGGAGCAGGTCTGTGCAATGAATTATGTCGCTTGGGTCCGCTGCACGAGCCCTCCAAGACTATAAACTGAGTAGAATCTCAATCCGAAACCCAAGATTTGGTGCAGTAGAAGCGTCAGCTTGAGTTCAATCTGTACTCCATGCGAATGGTACGTGATAGTATCCACCCATATCCGCCCCACCGGCGGGGCGACGTGGACCGAGCCGGTTGCAAGGTGAGCCGGTGATAGTGGATTATAAACCCAGCACTACCCGACTTTGAACCTAATAGTTGTCCCACATAGTCCCATTAGAATCCCTGTAAAGGCTCCATAGTAAGCCCAAGCATCCACCCACCGATAGCAATGCTATCGGCGGGCGACGTGGGTCGAGCCGGTGGCGAGGTTATCGCGCGAGAGTGAATGATAATTAATCCCCGCACGAGCCTACCACGTAATTAAATTCCAGATTTGTCCCGGCATAGTCCCATCATAGTCCCGCGTGATAGTGAACTCGAATTTCAGCACTACCCGAGTTTAAACCCAATAGTTGCCCCACATAGTCCCATTATAATCCCTGTAATAGCGCCATAGTAAGCCCAAGCATCCACCCACCTATAGCAATCCCATCGGCGGGCGACGTAGGTCATGCCGGTGGCTAGGTTATCGTGTGACAGTGAATTGTTAGTAAGCCCCGCACGAGCCTACCCGGCAATTCAGTTCCAGATTTGTCCCCGCATAGTCCCAGCATAGTCCCGCGTGATAATCAATTATACTCTCAGCACTAGCCGCCGACGTAAGCCCAACATTTGTCCCAGCATAGTCCCATCATAATCCTTGTCGAGTTGGCATGGTCAGCCGAAGAGTTGGTCCATCAGAGTGCCATGACTTATGTCTATACGTCGCCTATGTGACAAGCTCATGATGGTACCTCCCAACGGAAGACCGCAGCCTATGTGGAACCAGCCGGTAGGGAAGAAATGTCGTGAGTAGCACGTTCGAAGCGTTGGGCAGCTAGAGCGTTGCTCAAGCGAGAGTCAGAGCGTTGCGCAGCTCGATCAGACAAGGCAAACGGTCAACCCGACATGTTTTGAAAGGCAACAGCATGTTTACAAGCAGGGTCCAGGAGGTTTAGTCAGCGAGAGCGTTGCCCAAGCAGGCTAGCGGTCAACCCGGCATGTTTTGAAGTCGGAGCGTGGCTCAGGCGAGAGTTAAAGTGTTGCTCCGATTCACCAAGCGAAGTCAACTGTCAACCCGGCTTGTTTGGAAGGGGCATGCATCAAGAAGCAACGTAGACGATCCGGTGTGGTCGGGTTTCACAGCGGCATGGCCAGTTCCGAGAACGGCATGTTGAAAGACAGGGGGTGAGAGCTTTGGTCAGCTGGAGCGTTGCTCAAGCGAGTGTCAGAGCGTTGCTCAGACCGGCCAAGGTGAACGGTCAACCCGGCTTGGTTGGAGCGGCATGTTTGGTTGATATGTATTGCCTAGCCAGCGTGGGAAGAAGCCTGTGTCCGGAGTAGCTAGTTTGAAGCCTTGATCAGCTAGAGCGTAGCTCAGGCGAGAATCAAAGTTGCTCGAGCGCGCGTCCGGGCCTTCCTCCGACCGACCAAGGCAAGAGCAGCACGACGGCAAATGGACAACATGGCTACAGCAGCGCAAAGCAGCGTGGCCGACCGAAAGCGCGTCGACGGCGAGCCGTCAACCCGGCCTGTCTTGTGGGGCATGTGCGGGGGACTCGTGCGCGGGGTGGCTTGGTTTCCGTCGCACATTGATCGTAAAACCACCGTTTAGCAACAAAACCTCAGTGAAACAAAGCCAACAAATGTCACTGACGTAGCTGGACAGATGGTCTGTGACCTAGATGGACAGTAAGTTGACTCCGTGAATCAGTGAAACATAGCCAACAAATGTCACTGACGTAGCTGGACAGATGGTCTGTGACCTAGATGGACAGTAAGGTGACACCGTGAACCTTGCCAGAATCTAGCCTGGACGAAATGGAGCCGGGTCACGACCAGGGGGACAACCACGCAACATGACGACCCGCCTGCAGGTCAGCCCCGTGTGAAAAGCAAAGTAGTTGACGCATGACAAGGTAGCTGACAACGCAACAGCAGAAAAAAGCGCAGCGACAAGAATCGTCAGTAGGTGCATGTACGGCATCGAGTACACGAAAGTCGCAACCAACCCAAAACGCGTCGATAGAGTTGACTAGCACAAAAAAACCCTTGTATGCAAGCAAAACCACCTTTGGTATCAGAGGCTGCAAGCAACACTGCACCGTAGAAACATTAGAAGCAACATATCAGATAAGGGCGCGCCCCCAGCCGGACGCGGTGTCGGTTGCCCGTGCCTGCCATGTCGTGCCGAGGGCTTTTTGTCAAGACTCTCTGCCATGGACTCTTCTGGCTAGGATTCTGCCATTGCATCCACGACGGCATGCTGCCGTTCTGTGAAACACTACTGTACGCAATTCTGAGTCACATGCTGTGCACCGTGTGGCCGACGGTGGTGGACGCTGCAGTCACACGAATTGCCAGGGTGCTTACCAAGAGAGCGCGTGGCAGCAAGCCCTGCCGCCGGATCAAAGGCAGGCGGTACAAACCATGCCGTGGCAGACGGCGGCAACATCGCAGGAAGAAGGCATGGACTCGGTTGTGGCATTGGAGCCGGAAGCTCCGCAATCGACTCGCCCATGCGCTGCATGGTAACGGACCTGGGCCAGCCGATGCCAGTAGCAACAGTGGAACTGCCTCCGGCGGGAACACTGCAACGGAACAGCCGGGAGCAAGCTATACTGTAGAAGCACGTGCTCAAAGGTTGCGGAGAGTGCCGGTCGACATCCCCGGCGATGGGTGGTGTCTCCTTCATGCCGTGAGCTGGTACTTGGAACGGCACGAAAGCCACGAGCCAGAGTGGAGCGTGCGGAAAGCGGCGGACACATACGTGCAGGCATTGGAATTTCTAATCCAGCAATTCGACGGCCCCAGTGCCGCGGACATCAACATTGCTTGCATGCCTGACCAGCCCGCCGAGCTGGAACTGCATCGCCGATTCCTGCAACGCCGAGGCATATTCTTGCCTGCATGATGAACTTCCGCAAGGGTTGCTCGTACTTTGGAGCAAGCTGACGGCAGTGTTGGAAATGCCGAACATGCTGGATAGCATCCATCATGGCACCAGCGTGGAGGTTTGGGCACTGACAAAGGCATTTGGCTTTGAAGTGCTTGTCTGGAGTACAGACGTGGACGCCAACTACTGGATTGCAACGATGGAGCAAGTCACTGACGCGGAAGCGATGCGGCTGGCTGAGCTACACCCGCATGCCTTGCACCTGGTGCACCAACCCATGGGTCACACCGGACACTATAGCTTGCTGTGGGAAGATAGGCCACCCGCTTCGGTGTGGCAACCAACACCATGGTTGCAGATATGGCACAGGGAGGGAGCACAAGCCTTGCAACAGCATTTGGGTATGATCCGCGTGCAACCGTCGCGGGTCGAGCCGGCAGAGCAACCCAACCAGCCGAATGCGGCGCCTGCCTCCGCAAAAGCGGCGGCCAAGCCAAGCAAGCCGATGGCCTCCAACCAAGACCCGTGGCCCGCACTGGCCACGCCACCTTGCAGCAGCGGGTCCGAAGTGGGCTTTGCTGACACGGAAAGTGTCGTGTCGTGGAATTCACACCAATCCAGTGAAGGCTCCAGTGCCGCACCCAGCCTAGCGCTAGAACCAGAGCGTGCATGGTGCACGCTGGAAGATCAATACTTGGAACAAATTCAGACCATCAGCCGGCAGTTTCGTACCAAACCGTTGCTGCCACCATCCGTGCCACACGTTCCGGTAGAGTTAGCCGACAGCATGTCCGGCGTCCCGTATCCAGCCTGCCACTGTGCCTTTGAAGGTTGCACGTGGTGCAGCGACGCACAGCCGTGCGTGGACGCATTGCTCTCGAAAGATCAGTGGATTGTGCAGGGAGTCACTTGGCACTGCAGCAGTGGAACTTGCTGCAACGACCCCGGTGCCTGTCTGTGGGCGCACTTGCGCAGCCAGCATGCAGTCGCCTTCCAGCACTGCCCCGGAGATCTTGTGAGTTCTTACATCGCAGCCTTGAAATGTGTCGAAGAGCAATCGGTCCCGGCCGTTGGTTGGAGTGTGGATCGTCGCACTTTGCGACGCTTGCATGCCGAAAGACAAGAAGAGCAAACCGTTGCTCTCATCTGTGCTTGCTGTGCCGCCGTCCTGCCCAGCGGACCGCGGAGCGAGATTGGATACTTGACCGTGGAACACATCTTCGAAACCTTGACGCCCGACAGCTTCCAACAGAATTGGGATTTGATGCAGTATCGCACTTCCTATGGCTCCCATGCTTCGGTCCACAGGCAGCTCCACGGAGCCGAATGGCAGCGGACCCTGCCACCAACATTGTTCGATGGGCAGTCCATCCTGTGCTGTCCGGAAGATCTCCGGTGTAGCGCCTGCCCTGCCGCTGGCATGCAGCTCTGCCCGCAGTGCGAGCTGCCACTGTGCCGATCTTGTTGGAGCCGAATGCGGCAAGGCGCATTTAGTGGCATTCCTTCGGCCCTCAGCAACGACAACTTCTATGGCTATCCGGCCGAGCTCCTCTACCAACATCGGGTGCGATGGATAGAGACAGCGGCTGCTTCGCCACTGTGGACTTCCATGGTGAGCTTTTACCTTGAAGCAGACCGCGGGCACGTCTTAGAGGAGCCTGTGCATCGAGCCGAGCACCGCCTGGCCATCCGCGGCAACATCAGTGCCGTGAGTTTGCCGTGGGAAGAAATTTACGGCCACTTCGCACAGATGACACCCCACGATCGCATCGCAACCTTGCCGCACGCGCTCCCTGCCTTGCGCGCAATGGTGAAAGTGACGGTGAAGGGCATGCGGCATGCTGAGCTCGTGGAGTGGGTAGCCGGCGCCCACCTGAGGCCTCATGGTTGTTGCCCTCTTAGATCACTTAGTGGATATACACCATCCCATGTTTGCAGCCTACGATGGCACGCCAGCCGAACTGAGGCAGCTGTTTCGATCCAAAGTGCAGCGGGAGTATGGCACAAGAAATTTGTCCAGTCACCATCGAAGAGCAAGCCGACCTAGCTGGTGCAGCACCCACCCCAGCTCAGACAAAGAATGCAACCCCAGAACCTGCAAACCTCCCACAGTTTGGCGGGGAAGCCTTCTTGGGCAGCAGCCGACCACAAGTTCTCAGCCCGGATTATACCAGCAACCAGGCAGGTGACACGACAACCCAAGAAGTGACGCGCCTCGCTCAAGTCACCCCGAAGGTCACCATCCAGACGGGCACAGAATTCTGGGACCAATGGCAGACGGAGTACCTTGCCTGGGCTTTCCCCTTCAGTGTCCCATCCCCCGTCGGTGGGCCGGACTTTCCGAACAAGGAGCGCCCGCGACGCAAAGCCGACGCAGCAGTGCTAGGGCCAATCCCACACCTGCGCTCCTTAGCCCGGCGCGTCGAGTCTTCGCTGCGAAACTCTTGGGATTTGATTTCAGGCCTCCGGCGACTGACGTTCAAATGGCATTCGGTGTGCCAAACGCCGCTCTACCGGTCCTGGGCATCCAAAACCAACGCCCTCCAAGCGACACCGGCACATGAATGGGTTCAGGCGGCCAAAGCCTTGTATCAAAAATTACAAAAAGGTAAGTATTTGACAGCCGGCAAGACGCTGAAGCCAATCAACTACGATGCCCGCAAGCTATGGTTTGCCGAAGGCCTCACCCCGCCCGAAGCCCAGCTGCTGCGTGACATCCGGCACGCGCAAATGACTTTGCCTGGAACAGTGGAGGTCCGGCGACGGATTGGCCGTTTTCTCTTCGGAGCACGGGTCGAACTCGGAGAACCCATCTTCATGACCTTATCTCCCACGACGCGGCACAATGCCTTGTGCTTGCGACTCTCGCGGTACCGACAGCATGACCCGGGTGCGGGGCCGCTTTCTGGAAAGCACGTGCCACGCGTCTGGGAAGAGGCCGAGGTGATTGTGCCAGTCCCTGAATACGAAACGCGCCGGCAAACATCCGTTCGAGATCCCTGGGCCGTCGACATAGCCTTCCAGTGCATGGTTCGTTTTGTGTTTGCGGAGCTTCTGGGTATTCGCATGTGCTTCCGCTGCCCCAATTGCAGCTGTCGCGATGCCCTCGGACAATCGACACATCCCATGGGAGGCATTCTTGGCCTGGTGCTTGGATTCTGCGGAGCCATAGAGTATCAAAAAAACAGCAACCCCCATTTTCATGCCAATGTGTACGTCGCCACGGTGTGGCAACAGCCCTTGAAAAAATTAGCTCAAAAAATACAAGCTAAGGCCATTACCCTGGAAGAACTGTTTCGGTACCAAGCCTGGCTGCACAATGAAAGCCACTTCAACCTCGAACAGCATGAAGCCCTCTTTCCAGCGTTGGAAAAAAAGTGGATGCAAAACTTCCCTGGGACGGAGCATGACAGGTTATGCCTTTGGCCAGCTTTTGTTGCCGCAGACACCACGCCTTCGCCGTGGCTGCCCCAGGTTGCCGACGGCGGGCCGCTCCGCGTAGAGCGTTGCTCATCGCCGGCCCATGCCGCCGAATCGCAGAACTCAGCTGCCCCGACTGCCGCAGCCAACCCAAAGGATCTGCAGACTGACGCCATTCGATACCGGCAGCTCTACCAGACAGCAGTGCAAGTGAAGCTCTCACACCAGCAACACCATATGCACACTTGGGATGCCAAACACCAATGCCACGTGCCGCTGCCTGCTTGCCAGAAGAAAGACGCGCCAAACAAATGCAAGCACGGCTTCCCAAAAACCATCTGCGACGTGGCGCGCGTCGTGTGCCGGGGGAATGCTCGCAAATTTCGTCAGAGTACGGCTGGCAGACGAAATGCACTTGGCTGCGTCCTCAATCCACGGGACAACCAATGGCTGTCAGGCACGATGCATGCATTTACCCTGATGTTTATGGGCAACAGCCATACCGGCATCAAGTTCCGCATCCCACTATTGCCGGAAACGCATGACGCGGCATGCGAGCGGAACTGCTTGGAAACGACCACCTTGCAGCGCCTCCAACGGCTGATGCAGCATGCCGCGAAAAAAGCGACGCAATACTTCACCGGATATTTGCAAAAATCCCAGCCATTGGGTCGGAAGGAGCTGCAACAAGCCGCCAAGCACCTGTCATATCTCGACATTACCCCCGAGAAGGGCGCGGAAGCCAAGCACTACCGAAAAGTGTTGCATCGAGTGTGCGGTGACTTGGAATTTCGCTGTTCCGTCCGCCCCCTGACGGAAGAAGTCATGTTGGCAGGTTTCTGGGACGGCGACGAACCCACGTCTGCCGAGTGCATTCGCTCCTTTGCCGTCGTTCCCTTTGTCGGCAGTGACTCGTTAGCTCAGTACGATAAGGCAACTGAAGTGCGGCATCGCGTCAAGCCTACCCATCACCGACAGGCCCACTTCAAGAGCAGCGATCTCTACGGCTGGCGGGGTCAAGATCCGCGGCTGCGATATTTGAGCCCTTGGGAATTCACCACACTCTGGGAAGTGCAACGGCTGCAGCCACCCTCCCAACAAAAATCTGACTTAAGTGAATGGCTTCCTGGATGCGGCGTCGGCCCGGAGCCGGCAGACGGGTGGCAATTTGGGCGGGACTACCGATGGAAGCAACACATCCTTGCCGATAGCCCCAAACACATCGTCCCCTTGCCAAGCCGTGCCAGCACCGCCGCTGGAGCGGACCACTACTTCGTTCGCCGGGCCGTGCCCTTAGTGCCGTACCCCACAGCGTGCCCACTGCCCAAAGCCGACATGAGCAAAGATCAGCAAGCCCGCCTCCTGAACATCTATCTCCGCCCATGGACTTTGGCCGGTGACGACGCCACGGTGCATGTGCCACATATTCAGGCCTTGGACATCCCCATCACCGATTGCCAAAAGAAGCCTTCCCATCGATGTGTCGGAAAAACTTCGGTGGGGTGCCGCAGTCACCACACGGCATGGAAAGACTACATTCGCCACCACATCGTGTCTGCAAATGCCGCCCGCACCATCTCAAATTTCTTGGCCGCTGCAGAGTGTTCGCCGGACGACGTCGAGGAAGCAACCGTCGACGAAGCCAGGAAGCCGGACAGGGAAGTCGACACAAGCTGGGTTGACATGACGACCGTGCAACGCCTCACTGCCGGAGAAGGGTTCCAATACTCCAAACGGTCGGCCCAGACCGTCCAGAGTCTTGTGCACGACTGGACAACACCGCAGACAAGCACGAGCAACCAAGGGCCGCGGCAGTTCTCGACCGGCCTGCCAGACCCCGGCCCAGCACCAGCAACCGGGGCAGCTGGCACAGATCCCTTCGCCCAACAAACGCAACCGCCACGCCCGGTGGCCACGAACTACGGAACCTTCAGGTTGGACGCGGCCCGGATGTGGTTGCAAGCTTTGAACCGGTCCGGGATGACGCCAGCCCCCAACCCAGAACAAAAGCAAGTTCTGACAGCCGTTGTGGAAAGGTGCCACGCCGAAGCGGTCGAGGAAAGGGAAGACAAGCAGAATCGATCAGAACCATTTCGAGCAATCTTGCATGGGGTGCCGGGCGCAGGGAAATCCCAAACCTTGCACTGGCTTTGCACGTTTTTCGAAACGGTGTGTGATTGGCAGCACTTGCACGAGTTTGCTTTCGTAGCCCCGCAGAACACGCAAGCGGCCCTGATAGATGGAATCACCATTCACTCCTTCGCGGATATCAGAGTGCAAGGCCAGAAGCAAAAAAAGGAGACGGCTTTTGGACCAGATCACTTCGTCAAGTACCAACATCTACGCTGGCTTATCATCGACGAATGCAGCACCTCAGCCTTGGAAGTACTGGCCGTGCTAGAAAAACGCCTGCAAGAAGCGGTCCGTGCCAGGCACTCGTGGAAATGCCGCGCCACCGGCACGCCCCGGCCCTTTGCCGGCATCAACATTCTGCTGGCCGGCGACTGCTGGCAATTCCCTGCCGTGAAAGCCACGTCCATCTTCCATAACCCCTTCAAGCACGGACAAAGTGTTCAGGTAGCGAACCTCCAGAAAGTGTTGTGGACGCATGACCGACAGAACATCCAACACCTGTTCGAACTCACCCAAGAGCATCGTTGTGTCGATCCGTGGTTAAGTGCCATTCTCCATGCCGCCCGACATGGAGCTGTGACTCAAGAGCACTGGGCGTTTCTACACGGCTTCCCGACCTTGCATGCCGGCTCGTGGAACCCCCAAACAAACAAGTGCTCTTGCAAAAAGCCGGCCTGCGATGCCTTGGCCAAGCAGTGGACCAAGGAAGTGTTGGATCCGAAAAATACACGAACCTGGCAGGATCGGCGCCAAGCAGAATGCGATGTCTGCGCGGCCGAACGCCGGCGGCGCTGCATCGTTGCCGGAACATCCGACTTTGGGCCCAATCCAAAAGACAGCAAATTTTTGCAGGCACCGTTTGTGCATGGACTGAATGCTGCCAAGTACGTCGCAGCACTGCTGCGGGCCCGGTGGGTGGCGGCCGAGCAACGGCATCTCTTGCTCTGGGTCGTGGCGCAGGACACGCCGCTCTTCCACACCGACCCTGACACGGAGGCCCAAGAGCTGCAGCACCGAAAAGAGCAATGGCTTCAGCGACATGACCAGGCGACAGCAGGGATAATGGGATTGTTGCCACTCTTGCCGGGCATGCCCGTGCGCATCACCCAGACCTTGCCCGAACTCAAACCTTGGGGCTTGTTCAAGAACACCCGCGGATCCCTGCACGGGTGGAGCCTCGCCGAAGAAGACATTGCGGCAATCCCGGCCTGCCAGCAGCCGGAGCTGGTGCTCCAAAAAATGCCGGCATGCCTCTTTGTCGCCATCCCCGGTGCCACCTGGCAGCACCGCCCAGGTCTTCCACCGGGGGTCGCTTGCATTCGCCCGGTCGTGCAACATTGGAAGCTCGAAGCCCACGGCACCGCCACGGTCGCCAGACGAGGTTTTCCGCTGGCCTGCGATTACGCCGGCACGGCGCATTCGTTTATGGGGGCTACATTAGCTGCCTGCAGTTTGGACTTAGGATTTTGGGACACGGCGGCGAACCGGGACTCCCAGCTCAGTGCCTACATGTGCCTGTCCCGAGTAAAAAAAGCAGAAGACCTCTGCATAGCCCGTCCCTTTTCCCCTAATCTTCTAAGCCAAGGTGAACTAATAGGCCCCGATACGTTCCTCGCAGTGCATCGGCAAGCCCTGACCCTGGCGGACGCCAAAAGCAAGTTTGAGCAAGAGCAGGTGCAACGGAAGCGCAATCCGGAGACCCTCTTCTTTTGTCGCGGATGCACCCCGAAAGCTAAAGGCGAGCACGGCCTCCTGCCGTTGCGTGACTTCACCAGTAACAATTTGTGGCAGCCGGATGCTTGGTTGGAGATCGTGTGTCGTGGCATGGAACGCTTGTGCAGTCAGTGTCGCCACCCACAGGTGTCCGGGAACCCCACCAGCGCTGAAGCCGACGCCTCCAGCAAGTGTGCATTTTGTAACAAAACCCCACTGCCGAAACTCGGCTTTTGCAAGCAATGCCTGTCCGAAGCCAGATTGGCCTGCGCCCGCTGTGACGTAGGTCGAAAACTCAAACCCAAGACCTTGGCGGACTTCAGCCCCGCGGAAATTCAACGCCGCAGAGCAACGAAGGAGTTACGAAAAGCCCGCTGCAAAAAGTGTGAACTGCACCAACCCAACAAAGGCAAAGCGAAGGCCGGGCAGTGCCGCACGTGTCGGAACGTCGTCAGCGTGTCCCACTTGCACCAGTATGACTCCAAGGCCAACGACGGCATTTGTCGCAAGTGTTGGCGGAAAGCCACCAACTTGGAGGCAGCGACCGCCAAGGTCTGCCCACAGTGCAGCACACCTTTGAAACCAGCGGCGACACCAGGTTCGTGGTGTCAGAGCTGCGCCTATCCACCGTGTGCAAGTTGCCAAAAAGTGGCACGGCCAAACAAAGGCCCGTACCACGCCAAACACAAACCTGTCTGGCTGTGCGCAGCCTGTACAGGATGTCCACAGTGCAACAAACCTTTGAAAGCAAGTTCGAAACCAGGCACATGGTGTCAGAGTTGTGCCTATCCACCGTGTGCAGGTTGCCAAAAAGTTGCGCGGCCAAGCAAAGATACGTACCATGCCAAGTATCGACCCTTCTGGCGATGCACACAGTGTGCCCTAGAAAGCTGTCCGAGGTGCCAAGCCAATCCCTTGGGTCAAGACGCGGGCGGCGGACCAGACGCCGCGTGTCCACAGTGTGCAGAACGTGGTCCCAAGTGCGCAGTATGCAAACAGCCAATGCTTGGCCGCCCGCATTCCCACGGCTGGTGCCACGGGTGTGCCTTTCCGCCATGTGCAGCCGGCTGTGGTACACCGCGCCCGAGCAGAAACAGGGGAGACCAGGACAAATATCATGCCAAACTTGGTGTTGTTTAGCTGTTGCTTGGTAGCTCTTGGGTGGTTCTGACAGTCTTTTACAGTTGCCAGGCTGGAACCTATAAGAGATGTCCAGTTGCTTGGTGAGTTGCCAGACCAAGGAAACCAGGAGATCTATGTGTGGTGGCTTATTATTATGACAGACTCCAGAGCAATCCCAAGACATGAATGATTGCAAATGGGATATTATTATATATTATTATTAAATTAATTAATATGGTTATCATCTTTGATTCACAGGCATTGAACCCCACCCCTTGACTTATATTATTATCAACTTAAACTTAACCCTGCCATTTCCAGCGCGCTGCCAGTCAAGCATTTTTTTGTGCTGTCTCAGGTTTAGGTCAAAAACTAGCTTACTCCGTCGACGAGACTAAGCTAAGCCTAATTTCTAAAGCGCCTGGGCTGCTTGACCCCGTGTCAGTGCGGACTCTTGCCACTGACTTGTCAATGCCACTGACTTTTCAATGCCGACTCTTGACTTAAAAGTCAGCGAAGCTCGCGCAGTGTGGCTTGCCACATCTCGACCAACAGGTCCTTTTTACTGCTGGGCCTGGATGAGTCAGCTCCTCCTGACCCGGGGTCAGGATCGTCCCTGTCGTCTTTGCGCCGCTTTCGCTCAGGGTCGGCTCGGTCAGGTGGCGGTGACCTGGGTTTCTTGCCCTTGCCTTTCTGCTGACCCACAGGCTCAGGGATCTTCACGTTCGTTTCATCGTCTCCTGGCCCTGTTTTGTTCTCTTCCCAGAGCATCTGGCTCCAACGCTTAGCGTCGGCCATGCACTGACCCCAAGCTTTTTTTTCACTTGTGGAATAATAAATCCACGATGCCAAGTGGAACGGAGACCGGCGATGGGAAAAATTTCCCTGCAGGCCCCCGCCCACGTTGCGTCCGCAGACGGTGCACTTGTACGACCCAGTCTTAGGGTCGCCAGGTCCGGAGCGTGGGCAATTGGCAGGCTCTGGGGGTCTTTCTGATCCCTGACTGGTTTTTTTCAAACCAGCAGGGCCCTCAGTCGTCGCTGCCTTAGCAGTAGAGGCAGTGCACTCATTTCTGAGTCGACTGTCACTGCTTTTGGCACTGTGGACCGTGGTCCGTCCTCGACCTCAGCGTCTTCAGCCCGAGGTGCTTCTTCCTCGGCGGATTCCTCGTCGTCGTCGTCGTCATCAGGCTCGACGACTGGCGCCGACTTGCCCGGAGGCGCCGGCTCTGAGGCCATAGCCTCTGGCCGCTTTTCAGCGCCGCCAGCTGTCGTCGCCGCTTCTGCCGATGCAGGCCTCAGCACGGCCTTGCCCGGAGCCTCGACGCTTCTGCGACGACGGTCCCTTGAACGACTCTTTGTCTCAGTGCGCCGTGCACGACTGCGACCACGACGACTTGAGTCGTCTCCACGGCGGTCAGACCCGCGGTCTGAGTGGCGGTCCTTCTTATGAGACCGATCTTTGTCGTCACCGCGGTCTTTCTTCTGGTTCTTCTCCGCCATCACGACCTGACAGGACGCGAGCGACAATTGTGGTTTTAACTAAAATTAAGTATATTATAAGAGTTTCATATCATTGCCAGGACCATGCAGATCAATTCTCATTTGCTTGAAAATAAGGAGTCCGTAGACTCTAGTCCGTAGACTTTCCCTCGAGTCCGTAGACCCAGTCCGTAGACTTTTTTAAATAAACTCCGTAGAGTTGGACAGTCCGTAGACTTTAGATTGGAGTCCGTAGACTGAGTTGAATGTCGTCCGTAGATTCTTTCAGTCACTTCCAAGTGACAATTGATCCTTGGTCCTGGATTCAATTCTTAATTTATTTAATAGGAAATAAGAAGTGAATTGCTGTTGGGTTTACACTGTGAAGATGGCCCTGCCTTCTGCAGGGCCGCCGCGGCTACACACAGCAGGCTGCGCGGGTCGCAGACGCTAACCATTGAGCCAAACACCTTGGAAAATGACGTGACAAGTTGACTGTCAAAAGTAAGTGCTGGTTCCTGCAACATGTCCTGATGTGCAATTTAATTTTTGAGTCTGAATTGGATTCTTGTTCAACCCTTGCATTTCCATCGCATGATAATTGATTAAACAATGATTCATTATTATTCTCACAGAAGTATGTTTACTGGTTGGGCCGCAGTCCATTTTAATCAACAGAAGTATGTTTATTGGTTGGGCGATGCGTCTTTTTTCTTCTTCTCGTCAGGCTTGGTGGGAAGACTGTACCGGCCGTCTCCTAAAAACCCTTCTACCGCAGCTCTTTCAGTGTGGTTTGCCACATTTGCAGCAGCAAGTTGCTACCGGAGGACCCTGATCCTGTGTCCGGGTCAGGGTCTTGGTGGTCTTTGTCACGGCGGGAACGTTCCGGGTCGCATCTCACTGGAACTGGAGACCTTTGCTTTTTCTTAGGCTTGTTGGGCAATGCGTCATCCTCCGGACCTGTTTGGTTCGTCGCCCAGAGGTGCATGCTCCAGCGTTGCCCTTCCTGGAGACAATTCTTCCAGGGAAGGGTCTCTTTGTTGTTCCAGTAGACATAAGAAGCCAAATGGTGAGCTGACCGGCGATGTTGCCACGAGCCGGCAACTCCACCTCCGACTTTGCGGCCGCAGATGCTGCAGTCATACCGACGAGTCTTGTCGTCGTTCCCACCTTGGTGACGCTTGTCATCACACCAAGCTTGGTGAGATTTGTGTTCCTCATCAGGTTTGTGACCTTGGTCACGCTCAGACGTCTCACCTTGGTGAGGCGGCTGGCCACCTTCGCGACGCGCCACCGCCTCAGCCTTGGCTGGACCTGGACGGGCTGCCTTGGCAGCCTCCCTGGTCGGGGACTCTGGCGCGGCGCGCTTTGCAGGTGGCTGTACGGGTGGGTCCTCAGCAAGAACCGACTCCTCCTCACCTTCTTCGTCGTCGTGCGACGCCTTAGGAGCTGCAGCGTCCGCAGACGGAGCAGGAGGCGGAGCAGTTTCAGCTGGGACTAGGAGAGGCTTGCTGCCGTGAGACTTGTCAGTCTCCCTACGCCGCCCTCTGTCTCGGCTACGGCCTTTCTTTTTTTCCCGTCTGTCACGGCTTCGACCCCGTTTCTCCTCGTCTTTTTGGCGATCACCACGGTCACGGCGGTCGCCACGACGACGAGAACGTTCAGTGGTCATCAGCCTGGCAGCAGTGGGGGAGGACGATTGGGTTTAATATATTTAATAACTGTGTACCGTACATATCATATACATATTATTTTTTTAGGTGGGTTTAGGAAGATTCGCGATTAATATTAATTTATATTTTTTTAAAATTGGGTATGCAACTTTCACCCTCGCCTACTTGGTCTCAGCGGGCTCCTCCGAGCAGCGGGGTCGCAGCCACAGTCTCAGTTAACTTGAGCCAGAGCACCCTGGGCAACCAATAATAAAAATGAAATGTTTCAGTGTGTCACTCAGTGTCAACATCTGAGCGAGACTGCCGTGTCAAATCATGTGAGACACTTGCAAGCACAATTTGACAATGCTTCTTTTTTACACCCCTGCCTTGTTTGAGTTTCACTCAGTGGGTTTGCCGATTGTTCTCCAAAATTGGAGGGCAGCCGTTGGAAAAAAAACAGTCTTTATTATTTATTTAGGTATTTATTATAGGTGTGTCTGACAACAACTGCTGCCATCCAAGGACCAAAACTTTCAGCGGCGACGAACTGACCTGACTTGACTACCTACCACGGAAATGCGTCCGAACCGTCCTCAGCGTCGTCGTCGTCTCCTGCGTCAGGCGCCGTAGCTTTGTCGTCGTCTTTGGTCTGCTCTTTCTTCCCCTTGGCCTTGGCCTTGGGGCGTTCTTCTTTGGAATTTTCGTTTTTGCGCTTGCTCCCCTTGGTGACCTGCTCTTGCTGCTTTCCTTGGGCCACGGTATCTGAGCGGTAGAAAGTGGAGCCCTCTGTCTGCATCAGAGTGACGACAAAGTTGGTCAGAATCATTTCCACCTGAGTGGAATGTGAGTCAGACAGCGTCAGCCCGAGGTAGCTGACACGCTCGGCCACACAGGCCTTTGCCAACTCTCCCTGAGAAGTGCTGAGGTCCAACCTGAAATGAAATGCGCGAGGAATTCTGATTCAGGATATCATGTGATATAATTCGGGATATCATTTTTAATCGTCAGGCGATTAACGTGAAACATTATTATTTACCCATACATGGGATGATCAATATTTTAGGGTTGATGTGGTTAGATTGCTTCCCAGGCACACAGCTTTCACAGAGTGGGCTTTGAGAAAACTTCTGTAGAAAGAGCAGGGCAACAAAGCTGCACTGAAGACGCTTTCGCTGGAGGCCTCCTTGGCTTTGTTCATAGCGGCGTCAGTCGGCGACACGCACCTGCCTGTGGTGAGCACCTCCTCCTTTTCTTTCCTGCAGGGACAAGGATTCATTATGTCATGCGCTTGGTTCATTATTCATTATTCATTGTGAGAAAAACTCTGCCGGGGTCCTTGTCAGATGCCAAAGGTCCGCTGCCTGCATGGCGGAAATGGTGCCAAAGACATCTCCAAAGTTGTGCCCTGAGAAGTCAGTGTATGGCTTCTCCGGGACCATGGTTGACACTGGAGCTCCGGAGAAGAGACAAGCGGTGGACCTGGAGGTGTAAGCTCCTCGAACCCTTTGCTTGCGGTCCCGAATGGAGGTGTTAGAAAAGATCAGGAGAACGTCTTTCATTTCCGCTTCGATGGCTTGATCCTTTCTGGCCGCAGCCGGTCGGAACAAGGCTTCTGCTTCTTTGCTGGAACGTTCCATGCCACAGTGCACGAAAACCAGTTCACCCTCTGACGGAACCATGCACTCGTCCCCTTTGCGCTGGCCGTTTCTTGCAATCATCGAACCATGCAACAAGATTCTGAGGGCGGACTGGTCGGGAACAAAGCGCTTTCGGAGAAGTGGTCTCTGACCTGGGCCCATGGATTCTCCCAGCGCGTCTAAGTCAAGATGAGTCAGAACGCAGCTGACACCTCCCTCTCCTTGGAAGTCTTTCAAACCACTTTGGCTCACCAAACTGATGATGCCGTCCAAGGTCTTAGGCTGCACATGGAGAGAGCAATAAGTGCGAACAGTTTGGTTGCCAACCGCCTTCCAATATTTCTCAGACCCTTCAGAGTGTTGGCTGGGCGGCTTTCGCACCTCTTGAAGCTCGTCCTCTGCATGGTCCGGGTCTGCAGCGTTTGCGGCTGCCCCTGCAGCCAAAGCTTTTACTTCAACTTCTTCGTCCTTCAAGGTGGCGAGGAACTGGTTCACCTGTTCTTTCACCTGTTCGTGCTCCAGAACTGCCTCTGGAGCTCCCCCGGACCTCGTGGCTTGTCGCAGGCCGTTGTCATACTTCTTGGTGTAAGTCAGGTCCTGCGATGACAGGTGCCAATTAAATTGCTATGTCATGTTTGAAATGATTAAAAAAAGCACAGGACCATTGCAAACAAAAGAACCTGTCCTCCAGCAAGTGAAAGCAGTCAATGCCGGACTTCTTAAGCCGCGCCATCCAGGTACAATCTCCGTCGCCTGAATGTTGCCGGTACACCTCATGGGCAGACAGCTTCTCCTTCAGCAAAGCCCTGTCACCCTCTGCCATACCGCTCTTCGGAAGCAGCACTTCGAAGAAGTGGTCCAAGACCTGGCAAAAAACATGGAAACATAATTACAATCGGGAAAATGCAAGAAAAAAGTGCACCATATTCTGTGGACCCGGCCTTCTTTTTCATTTCAAAAAGACCTACGAGACCAGTATGGTGCTTGTCTCCGGAAAGACTGCCCTTGGAAATTTCTCCGATTTGCAAGACGTCGTAGGCCAGGCCATCATGCAAGCTCTCCAGCACCCAGTCTCGCATCTGATTTGTGCTTGGCTTGGTCGAAAGAACGTGAAGCCGACTCATCTGGTGGAAGGGAGAACGCGTCCCGTATAACTGTTCCAGCTCCAGCAAAAGTTCAACTGCCCGCGCTGAGCTGAGAATGCCCTTTTTGACGGCCAGAGCTTGCGTCACCAAGTTGACGGTGATTTTGCCATCGCTGTCGTCCTCCTTGCGGCCGCCCTGCACGGACAGCAGGCCAAGTGTGTGAAGCTCCTGTACCAGCTGCGCCGGCTGCAATTTTGATTTACAGCTGGGCAAACTTTCGCACATAGTCTTGAACTGGTCAATTTCCACAGCAATCTGCATTGCTGTCCTGCTCATGGACTCATGCTCTTGCTTCACCGCTTGTCTCCGATTGAATGCCTCGACCCACACATTGTGGCCTTGCAAAGGGTCCTGTGTCTCCACAAAAGAAGCCGGCACGCTCAGCAACACAGCACGCCACTGTGCTTTCCATTCCTTCCATTGATCCTCGGAGAGCTCATCCTTGCGCCTTGATGGATCCGTGGAAGTTGTGCTTTTTATTGAATGTGATATGGTCTGGATGTGACAAACTAATTTTAAACAAGGTCTTTAAATTCAGACAAGGCACCGAACAGCGTGAGCGCAGGAAGCCACCAGCGAATGCACAATCTCTTCTGGCGACAGCATCTGAAGGTTCTGGGGTTTGGCGCTCAGAGCCGACTTGTCGGCCAGAAGCTCCACCATACGGCCTGTCATGAAAGCTGGTTTTCCGTTCGGGAAGTAAAACTCTCCCATGTCGAGAACTCTCCTCCGGCTCATCGGAATTCCCGGCGTGGGCGACGCCAGGATCTGAACCCAGAACAAGGAAATGCTGCAACGAAAAACTCTACGAATCCCAAGTGCATGCCGAGCCGACTCCAAGTCAAATGGCTCTTGAACCCCAGTCTTGGATCCGTCCAACTCAGACTTGGAGAGCGGCAAAGGCATTTCCTGGTCAATGCCTGGGAACTCCTGCAAAATTGTCTGGAGGTCCGCCTCTACCAGAGCATAGTAGCCAGCATTCGTTGGGTCTGGAGTCGCAGCTGCAGCCGTGGCTGACTGAGTTGCAGCCGACGACGAAGTCTTTTTGCTTGCCTTGGGACCCGTGGATCCAGGCTTGGCAGAAATCGCCGCAGCAGACTTCTTACGCTCTTCGCAGGCCACAGCCTTCTTGGTCTGAAGCTCCTTCTTCACCACCGCTTCTTCCTCTCCTTTCTTAACCCTTGCAGCGAGCTCGTTCATTTCAGCCTTATTCAAGCGCCATGCGGAAATGTTCCGAATCTCAGAGGCTGCTACGGTCATTGCAGTGGCCAGCAACTTGGACAGTGTCTGTCAAGCACTTCCTGTCAGTTCCTACAAAAACACTTTGGGCCGACAGTGGCAAACAATGGGCATGGCTGTCACAGAGGGAATCGAAATGCAGCAGGTGGGACAGGATATGATGTGCAACAGTGATGATAAAATCGTAAATGCCAAAGTTAATAATATGAACCATTATCCTATCATCAATTATATCATGAACACGAGTGAGTAAGGACACTGGGCGTGCTACCGCTAAACGTCGCGCTGCTTACCCGGGTCTGGCCTGGGCTGGGATCTTGGGTAAGACAAGTGGGCAACGCTCTGTTACGCTCCAACGGGCATGAGTAGAGGAACTGGGGAAATCCCAGTCTCCTTACCCGGGTCTGGCCTGGGCTGGGAGTGGGTAAGGATAGTGGTAAAACTTGCGTGCGTGATGGGGCGGCGATTGTCCCAGTATGCTTAACACATTCCCTACTATCCTTACCCGGGTCTGGCCTGGGCTGGGAGTGGGTAAGGGAACTGGGGAAATCCCAGTCTCCTTACTCGCCTCCGTTGATGCGGCCGCCAAAAAAAGCACTGACGAGGTTCATTTTAAACCTGGTCCCGCCCAGGCTGTTCCGTCGAACAAACGGTCACTCAGCGTTGCAGCGTCCGGACCATTGGCAACTAATCTCCAATGATCTTCCTGTGCACTGAATTGAACTAAGCGAGAGTGTGTCAAGCCTTTCATCAACACACTTGCCAGGACATTGATGCTCATTGCATCGCCAAGGCTTGCATCCACTGTGCGCGCAGGAAGCTTGTGTTCCTCAGCTGCCCTTTGCATGGCTCTGACAACCTTCTTTGGAACTCCTTGTAATGCACCAGCTTCCTCAAGCAGCAAGCGCCGCCTCAGTTTTGGGATATAATATCCTCCTTGTCCCAAGCGCGTGTGCGTCAAGCACGGTGCGCAGTTTGTCATCGCTGCTTGAAATTTTTCCGAAGATCCTACGTCGAGAATATATCCCTTACGCCACATCTTGCTACCTAAAAGTTCTTCGTACCTCGGTAGCTGCAACACCTCGGAGCCGGTCTTGTCCTTTTGGATGAAATGGTGTAAGTCAACCTTCTCTGACCGCTTCTCCGGTAACTTCACTGTTCCAGCGCAAATCTCCTTGGCCACCGCGAGGATGTAGACTCGGGGGCGCGATTGCGGTATGGCGAAGTCCTGGGTACTCAAGACTTGGTGGTCGAACACATAGTCGAGCTTGTTCAAAATTTTGAGAATGTAATTCCAAATTTGCGAATGCTTCTTCTCGAGTATGGCTTTGACTTGTTCCAACACGACCACCTTGGGTCTGCACAAAGCCACATATTCCAACCCTTTCAGGGTCAAAAGACCCCGCTGGTCAGAGACGCCTTGGCGTTTTCCTAACTTGGAGTACGACGGGCACGGATAGCCAGCGACGTAAACGTCGGCTGTTTTCATGCTTTCTTCTTTCCGTAGAAACATGTCAATGACCTGGTGTCGTAGTTCCAGCCACATTCTTGGGCGACAGCTTGGTGCAACAACACCTTCTGTCGGCTGACCTCTGACATCATGACGGGCTGCACTTGGCTTTGCAGCCCCAGAAGCCTGTATGCTATCAGGTCCGAGCCGTGGCCCGAACAGTCTGATGCAGTGTGAATCACTCTCTGTTTCTTTGAAGCCTTGTGCCTGCCCAATCGAGTGAGCCAGTTGGACGCCAAGGCGTTAACCCGCTCCAGTTGCGAGCGTAGCACCTCCTTGCTCACTACGACAACTTTCTTCTGAAGTGTCCGTTTTGGACCATGGCTCTTGAGAGGAGGCGCTTTGCCGGAAGACGGGCTCGACTTGCCTTTTGTCATTTTCTGTTTGAATTGAAAACTCTGCGGAAAAAGAAATGCAATGCAACAGCGCGAGGGATTACTGACTACTAACTGCTCTACTCATGAATAATGAAACTGTCAGCCATGGCTTAAAATCGACGATCGACAAAGTCTGTTTTGTCTGTCAATGAAATAAACCGACGGGAGAACACAGTCAAGCCAATCATTGAATCTGGAAATTCAATCTTCGTCAACAACTCAGTCAGAGCTGCAGCTTCCGTTTTCACTCCACGCTTTTCAGTGGTCTCTGTCGACACTGTTCCAAAACTCGTAGGCCTCATTTTGTCAGAGGCGAGACTGACTAATCTACGGCCTACGTCATCAACCTTCACTGCAAAACCGACACGTCCGTAGACGCGGTAATGAGCCCAAGAAGTCATTAAGCCGTAGCCGTAGCTTATTTTATTTTTCCTCGTGAGCTTCAACCGAAACTTCCTGCGAATCCGTTTCTGGCTTGGGCAGCAAAACGCTTTCAAACACCGCAGGTGCATGCGCGTGGGCTGCCTCTGCCACTCGCCAGGATTCATCAAGAGTAAAAGGTTCCTCCACCGCAGCCTTAGCTGCAGAGGCCGGACTTGTGTTAGCCCCCTCGGTTCCTGAATCGCCCGCAGGCTTCTTTCCTTGTGACCCCTCAGTGATGTCAGGCTGAAGCACCGGCTGGGGTATGTCTTGCGCGAGGCCACGGGCCAATCTGTTCATGAAGTCGAAGGAGCGATCCGTGATTCTCCTGAGCCCATTTTGAATTCGATCGACCTCCTGCTGCTCCAGGCCAAGTTCCTGGATAAATGTAGGGTTGTCTTGTAGTCGGTCAGTGAGGTCGTCGAACAACACGACCGCCTCCCTACTTTCACAGGCAAGGAAACACGCCTCTTGGTATGTTTGCACCCTATCCATGGCCGAGTTGTTCTGCGGTCTGTTGTGTACCGGGCTGAGAAGCAAAAGCTGCAGACGTGGATTGTTACAGCGGCAGGTAGATCAGGCAGGAAAGATGGCGGGAATCGTCCACAAATTGAGCGATTAAATCTATGTCCTCCATGCGGTATTATACAGTATCACCTATTATCATTATTATACCAACCCGGGTGTCATGCCCACATGGATCCAATGAAAAATATGATATCAGAGCCAGAAGAGAAAATCTATAGTATAGGCAAGATGGTGGCTGTGATGTAAAATGATTTCCGGAAAACTGTCCCCATGAAAAAAGGGATAGGTTTCCGATAATACCCTTTTTATTGTCTTATATAGTCCTCATGTCTGTCGTGTATGCTGTCAACATTGACGATCTCTGACAGGCAACTGTGACTGATTGACATGTTTGTTTCCATGTGTTTTGCGCCTTGGCCGACCACAATGGAACTCCCAAAGAATTTACTTCGTACCTAGTATTAAAACCGAAAACAAACATCCTCTTGGAATTTTTGATACGGGCATTCATTTAATGCATGGCCTCTGCTTCTCGGGTTTGCAATTTAGACCGACACTGCTCTGCATGCGTGCTTTCCACACATGTCGTTTTTTCCCGCAAGCATCCCCTGTTGCAGGATCGTTCTCAAGCAGCTGCTATCTTCACACGGGAGCTTGCCGTCTTGTTGAGACAAGTTGCCGTGAGCCAACGCAAAAATTCGGTGACAGTAAAACACTTCACCCTGGTTTTGTTGAAACCAGCTGGGATGGCCTCCCCCGCACCCCTGAGATGGAGACTGGGCTTTCGCCCGCGGCCTTTCAAATCTTCCGCCCTCACTGCCTGCCACCCACGGGCACATGCCTCACGTAGCAGTAGAGTCATTCCTGGCTCTTCGGCCTTGAAAGTGTCAGTCACGAAGATTGCAACTTGTATCTCCTGACCCGGGTGAAACGTCAACTTCACACCTCCTGCTCCAAGCAAAGCAGAAGCTGACATCAAGACGGATCCACTCAGAGCAGCCATGAAACGCACTTTTCTTTGCACCCTAACGAAGTTTGAGACCACGAAGAGCTTGGCTTGCCGCAGGTCCTGGACATGGGTAGTAAGATGCAGATGCTTGGCAGGAACAAAACAAAAACAAACGTGCAAATCAATGGCAGGCAATTCACCAACAAAGGATTCCCCCAGGCTCCTGAGTTCTCGTCGCAACCCCATGTGCCGTCAAAGATTGAGACACTGCTTGCGCCTTGCCGCCTTCCATCTTGGAGCAACACCACGCTGGGCCACTGAGACCTTGGCAGGCCCACTGATGCCTTTTCTTCGTGGAAGTCAATTTACCGGACACTTCGTATGCCTGTCTTTTTTTTTTCCTGAGACCATCTCCTTGTCGGTTTGCTTTGGTCAGTCGCAAGGCCTCTTCCTGAACCTCTTGGGTGACCTCATCCGGCAACAAACAGCCATCTGCCAGAGCCTCAGCCTTTCGTTTCAAACCCTGTTTTCTCTGGAAATTTCTTTCCTTCTGGGAAGATTCTGTCAACAGCTCGGAAGGTTTCCGAGGAGGTGTTTCGCATTTTTGCACTGCTTCCAGCAATGCTTTCTTTCTTGTGCGGTTCCAGTTGGCAAAAGATCCGGTCTTCACTTTGCCTGTGACACCACAATCGAACCTTGGTTTTGTCCGCGGCCGGGACCTTCCACTGGACAGTAGGGAAGCGTAGATTCGTCGAGCGGCTTGAATCACTTCAGGTTGCACTGCTGGGCTCCTGGCCTGCCCGTCGCCCATGACAATTGCAAGGCGACGGTCTGTGTCCACAGAAGCGTTGGAAAGTTCCACAGGACTTCTCTTGAGCTTCGAGAATTGTTGCTCCACTCCACTTGTGGCTGCGGTCCAACATTGATAAGCTGCCATGACTTGTATCAGGGCCGTGGCCTCATACTTCCTTCCCTGGGCACCTTTCCGACTGCTTGTCCGTTGAAGGGCTTCCCTCCATGCTTCTCTGTTACTCAAACCTGCTTGCTTCTTCAAAGCTGCAGCAATGGGCAGCAAGCGGGCATACTCTTGCTTCAGTGCCTCAAAAGGTACCGAATACACTTGAGCCAGCCTCTCCAAGTTCCGTAAAACATCCGCACTGCAGTCACGGCCTCTTACGCAGTCAGACAAATGAAAAACTTGAAATGCCGCCGCCAAGTGCCAACTCGGAAACTCATGCGCGACGACTTCCTCCACGAGAGACACCCATTCCTGCAGCCGGCTGCAACGACGACAAGATATGATACAGTCAAATTTAATGGCAAACTGACACAGCCCCCCCCATGGAAAAGCTAGGCTAAGCACCGGGGTCCTCCATGACTGCAAAAGCCCTGTCCAAGTCTCGGTTCGAAACTTGGATGTCCAACGCAAACCCATCCTGAAGAATGGTCACGGGAATTCTTCTATCTAAGAATTCTTTCGTGAAAGTGGGTAGTGTCAACACCTTCCGGTCAACGAAGAGAGACCTTGCCGAGAGGACAAAATGGCTGGCTTGTAAATTCAAATCAGCAACATCAATGTCTTCACGGTCGCATTCCCTTGTGTAGTCGTTGCTGATAGCTGCAGCGTCGGTAAGCATTGCAAGCAAAGCTGCTTTGAACGAACTGAAATTTTGGCAAAGCTTGGTTGCCCAAGTTGCCTCAGCACCTCGCATGGCTTGGACCCTGCCGCACACATTGAAAGCTGCTTGCAAATTCCGAATTATCCGGCTGAGAGGATTCAAGTATGACGAGAACCTGTGCTTCGCCGCAGACATGGAGGTGCAAAGGTTTCCAGTCAAGTCGGAGTCCTCTTTGCATTGGACGGCCTTGGCCCACCATTGGCTGAGGATGTGGCTGTGGTGCACCTTCTGAGCGAAGCTTTCGGACCCATGGATCCATTCGTTTGTCAAACTTTTGACAGGTTCCAATGCAAGGAATGGTCTCTTCAAGGGACGGGTCGATGCATGCGCCGCATCTCTGCCGACGATCTTGCAATTTGTAAATTTGGATTGAAAGTCGGTCGCGGCCCTACGGCGCCCTCTCTCTAAGTCACCTGCTAAAAGTTCGGATGCAGCAGCGTCACTGGCCACCATGGTGACCCTGTCCTGAATCTTCCGTAGAAGTTCAGAGTCGACCGGCTGCTCGCTTTCCTTGGCTTGTCTGGGAGGCTGCCGCATCGGTTGGCAGAAGTTCTGCATGATTTCAGCAGTTGCTTCAGCTATGGACTCAGCAGAACCTGTCACAGGCTGCAAGCCAAGCGCGCCACTGATGGTGGTTAGGTCCGGTAGAACAGCGCGGAAGCGCACAAGAAGATTTCCTTTGCGTTCGTCTCTCATCAATGAGATGCAGCGAGACTCTGCCAGCAAAGTCCTGTTGCGAGCACAAACTGCTTCCGAGAGGGCATACCGCACTTGAGTTTTTTTATCGGACGATCCGCCACCTTGTCTCGCAGATTGTCCTTGCGTCATACCCTGCAAACTTGACTTAAAAGCCTCGTCGCTAGGGGCTCCGCAAAGATCATCTTGGCTTGCTGTCATGTGTCCCTTGGACTTCTCATGCCTCTCCAAGTTGTGTTTCTTCAACACGGAAGTCGGAGTTTGTTCAAAGTTGGCCCATGGGCCCTCCAGACCGGCTTTCGCGCATAAGCTGCAGCCGAGCTTGGATTCTCCATCGACCAGAAGCACTCTCAGCCATGGTTTTTTGTAAAGTGACCATGACTGCTGCACGGCGCACAAGCTGCACTTGTGCACTCCTCGCTTGCAAGTCTGAGTGTGTTCAGTGACCAACTTACCTGGAACCAACTGCTTCAACTTGTCGCGAGAATCTCCCATGGCGCGAAGAAGGAAACCCCTGGAGAGCGAAGAACTTATTGTATTCATTGTATTGATAGAATCTCATGATAGTCATAGTACTTTAAGGCTTACTTAAGATGCATTCAATGTGATTGACAGTATTGGAGCTTTGAATTGAAAGATGCGGAAATCTTCAAATTTTTGATCATACCTTAGATGTTTTAAGGTGCGTGTTTCAAAACCCTGCAGCCGCTGACGGCAACACACAGAAAGAGTCACAATTCAATGCAATGCTTTCGCCCCTCGAAATGAAGAAATCAAGCAACTACGACAGTAGTGGCTGGCAGTAGTGGCTGGCGGCGCGACATCGACTCTTCTTATTTTCTGAATAATAATAAGTCAAGCAGCACCCGCGGCAGCAGCAATTGCTCAGATGATGTGAGCTGACTTGACACACACATGTCCGTAGACAGTGACATTTAAAATTGTCCGCAGACACTCCCCACGGCATGTGTCCGTAGAGTCCGTAGACTAAGATATTTTCCTGTCCGTAGACCAGAACCAATGATGTGTCCGTAGACCAAGTCAGTCCGTAGACTATGATTTTCCTGTCCTTAGACCAGAACCAATGATGTGTCCGTAGACCCGCAAGTCAGTCCGTAGACTATGACTTTCCTCTCCATTTAAGACGAAGTGCAGATCTGTTACTTTGTTCGTGGACAATCATAAAGATTCATTCAATGCGGTCCGTGGACTCGAGGATCAAAAAATGATCAGACCTAGTCCGCAGACAACTCCGTATTTAAGATGTCCTTCAATATTATTCCTCGCGGGTGAAAGACAAAACAGCATTTCCATGGCAAGGTAAACAGACTGCAGATGCGATGGCAAAACGATTTTGAGCAAAAAATAACTCTGCTAGGGCGCTCGGCTGTGGAAGTTGACCAAGGGCTTACAATAACAATTTTACAAGTGGATTTATCACGACTAAGCTCACATATAATTTACACACCATTAACAAAATATATATATATATATAATCATGGAACTTGAAACTTATTATATACAACACCTGTATGGGGTATCCAACCTTACTATGTTTTCCCTTTGTAGGCATTCTATGGATATCAACTGGAACGCTGGGCAACACTGTTCCCCTGATCACTTACATTGAAATAATGACGAGGTGGATGCTTTGAGACAACCATAGGAACAAGAGGACCCATGCCAACCAGATCTGTTCACGCATGGAGTGAATGACTCAGTGGTCAGGTGGAATGTTTTATTATAGATAACCAAAACCAAAATAAAACTGGTCACACTGTCAAAGAGCTTAATACCTTGGCATTAGTGGTGGTGGAATAGTTTCAGTGACAGACTGGATGCATACTTGAACACATCACACACACTTCACTTAGCAACAAAAAAGACACCAAGAGCAACCAAGCTACTGCTAAACAACGCTAAGCAAACTCATGCCGCAGTGGACGTGCCAGACGTGCCAGCTATCAGAGAGTGGAGCGGCCAAGCGCCGTAAGACCCAAGTGGCCGACCAAGCAGACACCTTGCCACCGCTGCCGCCGCCGGCGGAGCCACCGGACGATAATGCCAACCCGGCGGCGACCTTTGGCCAACCCAGAAAAAGAAAACCACTCAGCACGCCCACCTCCGCGGAGCGTTGCTCAGCGCCTGCAGAGGCGGACCGTCCATGCTCACCTGCAGCATTTTTTTTTGGCCAACCGAAAAAAAGACGTTCGTCGAGCACCTGCCCAAGTTTTTCCTTGCCGGCAGACGTCCCGGAAGACATGCACCTCGAAGAGGCCCAGCCACTTTAATGGAGCCACCGGAGAAACGGACACGGAGTTGGTTCAGCACCAGCCACGCAATGTCCTACCCAGCGTGCACCTCTGACAGGATCTTTGTACCCACACATACCACAAAGCCAGTGCTGCCAACACCATGCATTTGGACCGCCGCGGATGAGTCAAGTTACGCACAACACACATAAGGAACCACTGTACCCAGAGCATCCCCTGAGCTATTAAACCACTACATAATCTTCCGTCCCATAGTTCCATTCAACCACAAGGCAGAAAGGACCAAGAGCAACCATGTTTTCAGCCACACGTTGCAGAATCAACTACCAAGGACACGCCACGAAGTTACGCACAACACACAGAAGGAACCACTGTACCCAGAGCATGCCCTTAGCTATTAACCCACTACATAAGCTTCCGTCCCATAGTTCCATTCAACCACAAGGCAGAAAGGACCGAGAGGAACCATGTTTGCAGCCACACGTTGCAGAATCAACTACCAAGAACACGCCACGAAGCCAGTGCTACCAACACCATGCATTTGGACCGCCGCGGATGAGTCAAGTTACGCACAACACACATAAGGAACCACTGTACCCAGAGCATGCCCGTAGCTATTAAACCACTCCATACTCTTCCGTCCCATAGTTCCATTCAACCACAAGGCAGAAAGGGCCAACAGCAACCATGTTTTCAGCCACACGTTGCAGAATCAACTACCAAGGACACGCCACGAAGTTACGCACAACACACATAAGGAACCACTGTACCCAGAGCATGCCTTTAGCTATTAACCCACTACATAATCTTCCGTCCCATAGTTCCATTCAACCACAAGGCAGAAAGGACCGAGAGGAACCATGTTTGCAGCCACACGTTGCAGAATCAACTACCAAGAACACGCCACGAAGCCAGTGCTGCCAACACCATGCATTTGGACCGCCGCGGATGAGTCAAGTTACGCACAACACACATAAGGAACCACTGTACCCAGAGCATGCCCTGAGCTATTAAACCACTACATAATCTTCCGTCCCATAGTTCCATTCAACCACAAGGCAGAAAGGACCAAAAGCAACCATGTTTTCAGCCACACGTTGCAGAATCAACTACCAAGGACACGCCACGAAGTTACGCACAACACACAGAAGGAACCACTGTACCCAGAGCATGCCCTTAGCTATTAACCCACTACATAAGCTTCCGTCCCATAGTTCCATTCAACCACAAGGCAGAAAGGACCGAGAGGAACCATGTTTGCAGCCACACGTTGCAGAATCAACTACCAAGAACACGCCACGAAGCCAGTGCTACCAACACCATGCATTTGGACCGCCGCGGATGAGTCAAGTTACGCACAACACACATAAGGAACCACTGTACCCAGAGCATGCCCGTAGCTATTAAACCACTCCATACTCTTCCGTCCCATAGTTCCATTCAACCACAAGGCAGAAAGGGCCAACAGCAACCATGTTTTCAGCCACACGTTGCAGAATCAACTACCAAGGACACGCCACGAAGTTACGCACAACACACATAAGGAACCACTGTACCCAGAGCATGCCTTTAGCTATTAACCCACTACATAATCTTCCGTCCCATAGTTCCATTCAACCACAAGGCAGAAAGGACCGAGAGGAACCATGTTTGCAGCCACACGTTGCAGAATCAACTACCAAGAACACGCCACGAAGCCAGTGCTGCCAACACCATGCATTTGGACCGCCGCGGATGAGTCAAGTTACGCACAACACACATAAGGAACCACTGTACCCAGAGCATGCCCGTAGCTATGAAACCACTACATAATCTTCCGTCCCATAGTTCCATTCAATCACAAGGCAGAAAGGGCCAAAAGCAACCATGTTTTCAGCCACACGTTGCAGAATCAACTACCAAGGACACGCCATGAAGCCAGTGCTGCCGATACCATGCATTTGGACCGCGGATAAGCATTCCCTTTTGCCAGTGTAATCCGAAAGCATTCGCAAACCTGTCAGATCCCAAATAGCCATGCGGTTTCGTCGGTGCTTCAAAGCTCGTTCGGACAACCGGCTGCAACCAAGGCGTTGCCCAGAGGAGTGCTAGAGAGTTGCTCACGCCGCGGTGTGCCAGTGCTGCCGATACCATGCATTTGGACCGCGGATAAGCATTCCTTTTTGCCAGTGTCATCCGAAAGCATTCGCAGACCTGTCAGATCCCAAATAGCCATGCGGTTTCGTCGGTGCTTCAAAGCTCGTTCGGACAACCGGCTGCAACCAAGGCGTTGCCCAGAGGAGTGCTAGAGCGTTGCTCACGCCGCGGTTTGGTTTTGTCAATCCTGTGCCAACGTAGGAAGCACCTTGCCGGCAGACGTCCCAGAGACCAGAACCCGACACCTATCCCGAAAGCAGTCGCACACCGGTCATTTCCCAAATAGCCATGCGTTTTGTTGGGTGCCTCAACGAGAATTCAGACAACCGGCTGCAACCAGGGCGTTGCCCAGGGCAGTGCTAGAGCGTTGCTCACGCCGCGGTTTGGTTGTGTCGCACGTTCAGATCTCGAACAGTGCACCTAGCCTGTGTAAACTGCATTGAAAGCAAGTAAAGGTCTTGACCCATCAGCATATCAACCTACCTAGCTAAGAACAAGGACTCGGCTGTCCCGTCCTGCAGTGGGGTTTCGACACCCAGACTCCAAGCGTCAAAGACACGCGATTCGGGAAAAAAAGGGCAGGCATGTCGGTAGCGAGGGGGTGGTTTTCGCAGCCGTCACGGTAGGGCAAACTCACTTGAAATGCCGCAGGCTGTTGAGCAGGACCGGGAAAGTCATGTACTCTCATTTACTGTCATTTTACTCTCATGAACGTAACTCAACTATGAAATGACAACTGTTAGTGAGGCATGCAAGGTTAGCCCGAATTAGTAGTTGGAGACGGCGTTCCCGCCAGGTCACGCCACAGCCGGTGGAGGACAACGTGTTCGGACCCAACCTCAACCAGGTGAAGCGGCAGCCGGTTCCGTCGCCTGTCGCCAGTCCCTGCCACCGCTGCGTTGACGCCAGGCGCTGGCGGAAGACGACCTCGTTGGACGCTGGATGCAGGCCACGGGTCCGGCTGGGGCATAACCACTTTCAGGGTCAGAGTAACAACAACCCGAAGAAATAGCGTCTGGATAAGGTCACCTTTGGTTTCGTCGTTGGTTTCTTTTTTTTCGCGGGGAGCCCCACGGCTAGGACCGT